GGGCTCAAAACCCATGTCAAGCATGCGGTCAGCCTCGTCGAGGACGAGGTAGGTGACACGCCTGAGGTTGGTCTTGCCCGACTCGAGCATGTCGATGAGACGGCCGGGGGTGGCAATGCAGACCTCGACACCGCGCGCAAGGTCGCGAATCTGTTGGCCCTTGGGGACACCACCGTAGACGCAAGTGTTCCTAATGCGAGACGACTTGCCGAACTTTGAGATTTCCTGCTGAATCTGGACCGCCAGCTCACGAGTGGGGGCCAAGATGAGAACGATGGGACCGTCGCCGGGAGCGAGGAGCGGCTGCGCGTTGATGTGGACAATGGCCGGAAGACAGTAGGTGAGCGTCTTGCCGGAGCCGGTCTCGGCGATACCAACGACGTCGCGACCAGAGAGGGCCATGGGCCAACCCTGGCTCTGAATGGCCGTGGGCTTCTCGAAACCCTGGGCCTTGACCTCGTTCATGACATAGCCGGGGAAGCCAGCCTCGTCAAAGGTGGTGACGGGCTTGGGGACATCGCGGCCCTGGACGGCGATCTGGTACTCCTTGCGGAAAGCGTCGACCTCGGCCTGCGAGCGGGCAGCGACGTCGGGGTGCTCCTTGTAGAAAGACTTTTCGAACTTGGGGAGGGAGTTGAGGTCCCAGTTTTGCGCCTTGAGGCCGGCGCCCAAGTTGGACATTCTGTCACCACCGTATCCGCCGCCGCCGTAGGCTCCACCACCACCACCACCACCACCGCTGTATCCGTTGCTGCCGCCGCCGTAGCCGCCACCACCGTTGGAGTAGCCGTTGGAACCGCCGTATCTGTTGGGGCAAATGTCAGCGCGTTTCTGAATGCGTCGTAGGCGAGGTGAGGTGGAATGTTGGCCGCCAGAGCGTCGCCAAAGAGCGCGTCTCGTCGCAAACAACGAGACGGCGACGGAAAAGACGCTCAGGCAAATGGGGGGGATGGTGTAGAGGGAGTGAAGGGAGGGGGATGGATGTCGGCGCAGCCGGCCATATCTAGACCTGTGGGTTGGGCATACCCGCTGGAATAGTGACTGGAATTGCTGTATCCATAGCGCGAGCTATCGTACCCGTTACCGTAGCCGCCTCCGCCGCCGCCTCCGCCGCCGCCGCCGCCGCCGCCGCGGGAACCACCATAACCACCGCCGTAACCACCGCCGTAGGACATGGTCGCAGGCAGGCTCAGTAGGGACCGGAGAAGGGTGATAAAGAGCGTGAAATTAAGCGCGGCTCGAGAGCAGCGTCGCGCAAAAAGGCGTCGGAATGAAGACGAGGGGGGGGGAGATGGGAGTCGAGTAGCGGAAAGAGGCGATGAGAGGGCGTGTTTGGAGGGTGGGATGGAGGAAGTGGTGAGGGCGATGTTTTTGACAGGACAGAAAAAGCGGAAAGAGGACCAGCGGCCAGAGCAGCCAGTGGACCCAATCTGGCTAGGAGGCAACGCAGAAAACTTCGGGCCGAGACCAGCCCACGGCCATTGGTCCGCCCTACCGACCGCCAGGAAAAAAAAAATCTGTCCAGGGTTTCCCTGACCGACCGTGGCGAGTCGCCTCTTTCGTTGTGTCTACAGTATACATACAGTAGTACAGTACTGCATACATACTGTATTCGTGCTTTTCCATACTGGTCTTCGTTCCCATCCATCCATCCATCCATCCCTCCCTCCTCCTCTCTGACCACCGCTACTACCCACCACCGCCCATCCCTCGGCTTCAGCCGCATCCCTTTGTAGACTACAGAGACCCCATGTCCCAGAACCCCGTCTCCATCTGGCGGCCTCTTAGCACACTCCTTCTCGCCCATCATCATGTTGCTCTGCTCACTCACCTTGGTCGCATGGATAAATATCCGCACCAGCTCCTCGATCCTGGCCGGCGACTGGCGCGCCGCGTGCTTCTCCAGCAGCTCTGCTCCCGTCCGCACCGCGGCGGTGTAGTCGTCTGCCACGTATTGCAAAACCCAATCCCAGTACCGATTGCCCTCGCGCTTCGTCGCCGGATCGTCAAACAGCCTGCGTGCAATGTGTCCGTAGCCGAGCAGGCACGGCGCCAGCGCCACCTGCAGCGCAAACCAGTCCTCCGACTGCCCAATGTCCAGCACGTACCGCGTGTACGCCGTGCACGCTGCCGCCACCATCGTCAGCCATGACTCCGTTTGACATGTTGCACCGCTCCCTGTCACTGACCTTGGTGCTCCTCGTGCCTCTCAATGTCGCCCTTGGTTAGCCCGAACCCCTCGCAGTACCTGACGTGCAACCCCATTTCCTCTTGGATATGCAACACTATCCTCGCCGACTTGTTGATGTCGTCCAAATCCTTGGCCTTGTACGCCGCCAGCGAGTTTGCTCTCGAAAACTGAATCTGCCAACATCAGCATCTCTCTCGACAAGTGCCCATCCACGCACCAAGAACAAGTAGTCCTGGACCAAGTAGTTTTGAAACTTTTGGACAGGCAACGTCCCATCTGCCAACTGCTTGACAAATTCGTGATGCGTGTGCTCTCTCCACGGTCCCCGGACGTCGTCTCGATCCAGGAGATAATCGATGAAGCGGCCTGGCGCAAAAGGCAACATGTATGTCGAGTGAAAGTGGTTGATTGGTCCGCTCCCGCTCCCGAGGTCCTTGCTTGTTCGGATTCCAGCTTCGATGTAATAGTTGGCCGTCTTGACTGCCTGCTCCATGGTCATGCCCAAGCCTAGCCGCGAGGCGATTGCAGACGCGAGCGAGCAGCCGGTACCGTGCGTGTTTCTGCTCTTCTGATACCCAGTCTCCATAATGACGGGCTCGCCTGGCCCTACCAGTACGTTGACCACCACATGGCGGCCCGCTTCGCTGGTCGGAGCAGTGTGGTCTTTCGTGAGAGGAACATGTCCGCCCTTGAGCAAGACGTACTTGGGGCCTAGGTTGCGGACGGCTTGAGCGATTGAAATCAACTCTTTTACCGTCGTCGGCTCAGACTGCGAGGGCCCTTGGCTGTCTCGATGCTTGAGTATCATGAGGGCCTCCGGCACGTTTGGCGTGACGACCGTAGCGAGCGGCAGAAGTTGAGAGATGAGCGTCTCCACGGCATCTTCAGGAAGCAATTGTGCCCCTGACGTCGCAACCATGACCTGACGGACGTGAGGAAATGTACGCAATGGACAAGGAAACGCTTACAGGATCAATGACGGAAACCGGCACGTTGTACTTCTTGAGCGCCTCAGCCACCACCTCTACAGTCGAGGCCGAAGCCAGCATGCCTAACCACACGTCGAATCAAAACCCGGACATTGCGGTGTTGATGAAAAGAAAAATTACTGCGGAGAGACACTCCTACCTACCAGTCTTGACCACATCTACGCCCACGTCTTCTACACATGCTTCGATTTGCTTGCGCACAAAGCCAGACGGCGTGACGTGGATGCCGTGCACTCCGAGCGTGTTTTGTGCCGTCAGCGCCGTCGTCGCCGTCATTGCATAGCATCCATGCGACGCGACAACCTTTTGGTCTGCCTCGAGCCCGCTACGCACAAAGCATGATGATCAGCAGAAGCTCCCAACTCAATCTCCAAGTACACCAGACAAGGCACTATTCTGATACATGCAACGCTGCATTGCACTTGCCCTTGCAGAGTGGGGGATGCATGCATGCCCGCACATGGAGGAGTGGTGATTGCGCTTGGAGAGTGCCGGAGTTGGGAAGGGAACTTACGCGCCACCAGAGCTGTCTGAGCCCGCTATCACTAGAATTCTTTGTTGGCCCATGGCGCAGAAATGGGTGCTGAAATCAAGCTGGCCCCAGCAACAATGGTTGAGGAATGGTGATGTGGATAGAGAATGGTGGCGCACGCGCCTGCCAGCCGCTGCCGGAGTCAACTCGGAGACGTCACCATTTGCTGGCTTGAGACGTTGCTGCTGTCATGGGACACATTTCTTATGCTACCATGCCAAAGAAACAAAACCAGTCTTGTCGGCATTCAGTTGTAGCGTCTTGATGAACGAGTTGTATCTCTTTGAGTGCTCACCAGGGTCTTGTCACGATTTTTTTTCGCCTTGCTTCCTCCTTTGGGCATCTGGGTGAAAGTAGTGACCGCTACTCACCAACAACCGGCACGACCCGAAGAGTAAAAGTCGAATGCTCCTTGTCTCTGCCTCTGTTGAAGCTGCTTTGCGTTCTGCGTCTTGTGATACAGCATAAGCAACCCCCCAAACACAAACCCCACACAGAACCTCTCCGCGAGGACATCTCCAGATCAGTTCAACCTTTTCACTGTACACACAATTGGCCAACCCTCCAACCCTCCGCCCTCAAACACCTAAATACAATCCTTCCACCAGGCACCATCAGGCGCAGCCATCCCCGTCCAACACAGCATCAAATCCCCTGTCCCTCCCCGCCGCGGCGCAATCACAGGTAGGTGGGCAACTCAGAATTTCTCTCCATGCGCATGTCATCCCACGCGACGTTCGAAGTTGGCGCAAAGCCCCGCGCCTGCGCCGTGCGCTCCTGCCAGCTGTCTAAGCGAGCCAATCGTGTCGAGCTGGTTCTGCGCGGAGGTAGAAGTCGACGCCGACGAGTCTCGCTATGACTTGTGATGCGGGTGGATTATCTGGGTTTTGGATAAGAGATAGAGACTTCACACATACGCCGATTACAATCTTGTGGTATGCATGTGTGAACGGGGAATTCACAGGCATCGTCGTTGTTGTCGCTCGGGGGATCCAGCACACATATGAAGCCAACATGCTCCATCCCTAACTCTCCCTCCAATTTTTGCTCTGTCAGACTCAAGAAATCCAGAAATCCACTCCATCTTCCACAAGCCAGCAAACGTAAAGTCGTTCCCAAGTCCATCTTCAAAAGAGGAAGGCACGACACGTGGGATCTGCCAGCGGGCCGATGCACGTGCGACGATCAAATCAATCTCCGCACAAAACACCCAAAAAAACCCCCCCCCCCCCCAATTCTTCCAACCACCGTTCGGACCTGGAAAGAAGGCAAAAAGTTGTGGGAATTGAGCCCAACGCGGGGGTCGAACCCGCAGCCTTGAGATGTCACCTTAAGAGGGCGGTTTAAGAGTCTCACGCTCTACCGATTGAGCTAGCCGGGCAGCTGTATCAGCTAATGGAGTAAAGGTGGAATTTTAACAAATATATTTTGTAACTTAACTGTCCTAAAACCTAATTGATTGATTAATTAATTAATTGATTAATTAATTAATTAATTAATTAATTATTTTATATCTTACTAGAGCTATAGGCTATCTAAGACGGAGCTATCTATAGGGGATCCTATATATATTTATAAGGTAAGTAGGGATGCCTAGCTAAAGGATCTTATATAATAAGGCGTAATTCTTAGTATAATGTTAGTATAGGGTAGGTATAGATAGATAGTTTATCTAGGCTCTTTTTAGGTAAGGGGGGGCTAAGGACTAGCCTTCCTACCGTTATCTAAGTAGATAGGTGGTATAGAGTAAGAGTAAGGAAAGGAAGGGGGATAGGGAGAAGGTATATATAGAAAAGTAAATATAGTATAGGGTAGTAGGTAAGGTAGATTATATATATACTCTACTATAGCATTCTAGTACTATCCCTAATAGTACTATTCTTAGTTAGCGTTATATAACACCTTTCTTAGCACCTATAAAGGTAAAAAAAGCGGGTAAGGTTTTTAACTAGTAGCGTCCATCTTCTAGCTAACTAGTATAGTTAGCTAATACTTATTATAGAAAATAAAGAACGCTTAAGAACCTAGGTTTAATCTATATTAATATTACTTATAATTTAATCTAGCCTAGTTACCGCTATTAGACGACTATACTTTAACATTATTACTAATAATAGGGCTCTATACACCGCCCTAGCCTAGGTATACTATATAGATAAATAGCGTTAAGCCCTTACCTTACTACTAAATAGTCGTCTAATTATTATTAGGAGTAGGAGGGTTTAGCTAGAGTAGTTATAGAGTAGTTATCTAAGTTATGTTAACGCCTTCCTAATCTAGAGGGCTAGGGCCTTAGTAGAGGCTCTATATAAGGTAGAGGAGGGATATAAGCCTAGAGGGTATTAGGTAGATTATAGATAAAGGGGTCCCTTCCTAGATTATCTTTAGTTAGAGGGGTTCTAGGGTAGTACCTATAGGAACTATAAGTAGAGGGATTATAGAGCTTATTATTCACTCTACTAATAGAGCTTAGAATAGATTCTCTCTTCTTCTTTTTACTCTTCTTTTCCCTTAGTCTACTCTTTATATGTGCTATGCCCTAGTAGAAACCTTCATCTAACGTATAAATTTAAGTATGAATTATTAACTAACGTCTCCTTAGAATAGCTCTCTATAGGGTATAGAGGCTATATTCCTACTATTATTATTATACGCCTAAAGTGCTTCCTATATTACTTCTTTCCTAGTAGAGCTATATAGTAGGTAGTTACTAATAAGATGTTATAGTATTTATTAGGTGGTATTATTATAGCTATAGTTATCCTAGGCTATCTTACTAAACCGTAATAGGTAGGCTTTAAAGTAGCTATAGTTTAGTTTTAATTAGAAGTAGGCTAATACTTCTAGTTATCTATACTTAGGGAGTTAGATAGACGTCCTTAGTATAGATAGGAAGTTACGTATGTATAACCCCTAGGATAGTATTATCTATACTTCCTAGTATTATATAGTATATACTATCTATTCTACTATAGTTCTTTATTATACGCGTATCCTAAGGAGGGTAGTACTTAAGTAGTTATTCTCTAGGGTTAGCTTAGCAGCCTCCTTTATAAGGGCGTCTACTTATAGGTTTCCTCTAATCCCTATATAGCCTAGGGCCTATAAGAAGGTAAGACTACCTTATCTAGCTATAATTAAGTAGCCTACATCTATAGCTTAAAGTTATAGTCCTTAACCTAGTAGGTTAGATAGGGTTTAGAGGCAGTATAGTATAGCTTAGTTATCTATATATACTATAATCTATCATCCTAGCTATTTCTAGGTAGCTAACTCTATAGCCCTTATAAGTGCCTCTAGTTCTCTATTATATATAAGCTAGTATAGTCTAGTATTTCCTCTATATCCTACTACTACTCTTATACTATCTTATTAGGTGTTATATACTATAATTCCTATGCCTACTCTATTTCCTTAAGGGATAGATAAAGCGTTAGAGTATAGGATAACTACCTAAGTTATATATCCTATACGTCTAATATATGCTTAGGCTTCTTATTCCTTTAGGAGGTAGCTAATCTTAACTTTATATAGAGTAGTCTTTTTCTATAGGGGAAAGGAACTATGTTTAATTAGGCTTTTAGTACCTATTACTAGGTCCGAAATTATACTCTAGACATGTTTAAGTTATGTCTATCATCCTAGTATATTCTCTTATTTAAACTTATTAATAATTATACGCACTAGGTGTTAGTAACTAAGCTTAAAGAGTTATATAGCGTACGCTTAAAGTAATATATTACGCCTTAGGTAGGGGGGGAGAAGTCCTACTTTAATTTCTATAGGGGTAATTAGGGAGGTCTAAAAGGCTCCTAGGATTTAGTATAGTCTATTATTTTAAAGTGTTCGTCTAAGTATCTTAGATCTACTAACTTACTAGAAAACTAGGGACCCATAATCTACTACACTTTATACGTAAGCTAGGTATAGTTATTAGATAGTAGTAGGGGATAGTCTATATTATATATTAGCTAGCTATATGAGCCTACTAAGTGATTACTTTACTTAGGCGTTCTAAATTATTATATACAGCCGGAATAATAGGCGTATATTAAACTATATCCTAAGCTATTAGATGAGTTACTTTAGCTATACTATATAGTCTCCTAGGAGTATAATTATAGCTTACTTAGCCTTATCTAAGCTTATAAAATAGATAAGGTCTGTTTTATCTTTATTAAAATCGACGGTATATTAGGTTCTAAGTAAGAAAAGCTAGTTAGCTTCCCGCTAGAGGATCTACGCATTTTTCTTCTAGCTTATTAAGGAGATTATGATTAAAACATTATTAATGTATAAGAGGAATTAGACTAAGTAAGAGGAAAAGAGTTTTCGTATATAAATAAGAAATAGGATTAGTAAGACTAGGCTTCCCTAGGGGATTCCTAAAACTATTAGATAAAGGTCCTCTTATTAGCTATTAAAGGAGATCTAGAGTTATTACCTACTAGTAAATGTCTTTACCTATACTAGGAGGGAGGTAGGGAGCCTAATTTCCCCTATTATATATAAGAGCTAGTTATAGGCTATATAATTAAAGGCACCTTATATATTAAGGAATAGGGTTAATATCTTACGCCGTGCCCTCCTCTTATCTTAGATAATATATATAAGGATTATTACTACATTAATTACTAACTTCTATAGTTATCCGCCTATTTAGGATGGGTATAGGAGGTAGGTAGCTTCTATAAGCGCTCTAAGATGTTTTACTATAATGTATTTAAGGACTTTTCCTAGGTAGTTAAGTAGGGAGATAACTCTATATGCTTTTAGGTCTATATAATTAGGTTTCCCTAGCTTCTTAAGTATTATACCTACCGCTTCTCTCTAGCATTCTAGGTAATATCTATACGTAAAGAAGGTTTAGTATATCTAGGTAAATTTTTTAGGATGAGTGTTATATGCCTTAGTAATTATCTTCTAGTAGATCTAGTCTAGCCTAGGGGTAGTGCCTTTAATCTTATAAGAGTAGGTATACTATACTTCCTTATCTATAAGGGAGGGCTAGTCCTATAGCCCTTCCTTATAGTTTATCTAGTTACGTAGGGGAACATATAGTAGTAGGGGGAAGAGTTTCTAATAGAAGGTAGTATACTTACTATTATATAATGATTAGAGTTAATCTTAAAGGTTACGTATCTAGGGGATTCACTTAGATCGGGTTACTTTCGTGTATACTATTACCTTATAGATAGACTAGGGTGTTTCTTTTATAAGGAAGTTATTCTAGTGCTCTTATTTTACCTACTTAATAGCTATGTTATATATATTCCGTGCTTATATGTATGTAACTTAGTTATAATATGCCCTATACCTTACTTATATAGTAGTTATCCTTAAGGCTATAAGGAGTAGGGACTACTATAGTTTTTATTACTATCTAGGGGTTACCTATAGGATGCTACATTTAGCTACTATCTCTATTACCTTTATAAGGTGTTATCTAAGTTAGTCTAGGTCCTCTTATAAGGTCCTACTAGAGAGTATATATTATGCCCTATTAGGAAGGGCTTAGATAAGTGGACTTATAATCTTATTTAACTCTTCTTAGACGATTTACCTATACTAGGCCTAGTCGGCCTTTTTAATGTTAAACTATAGTAATAGCATTAGTATATCTTAAAACTCATTATATATAATAGTAAAGAGAATAGTGTTATAGTTAGATAGAGGGTTCTCTTATACCTACTAGTTAATTACTTAAGTAGTAACTATTAGAGTGTATAGGGAGAGGTTAATAACCGTTTCCCTTTCTATCCCTATATAAAAGAAGGTACCTGCTCTAGGTTAGTTTTAGAGTTTAAGGCGGTTTTCCTTAATCTATTTATATAGAGCTTCTACTTTATGAGATTAGGGGGAGAGTAGGTCCTATATTAGATAGTGTTTATTAAAGTCCCCTATATAGATTATTAGCATAGTAGGGGGGCTATACTTAATAACTCTTTCTATTATATATAGGGAGGATGGGGTGCCTTATTCCGCCTTATTATAGATGTTAACTATATAGATAGTGTCTTCTCTATAGGTTAAATCTATAGTAAGGTAGTCGGGGCTAGGGAAGATATCTAGGTAAGGATTTACCTAGATATAGGTAAGGGATTTATTTAGGTAGAGTATTATCTAAGGACGTAAGCCCTATAGGAAGGTTAGGAGAATTTATATTATAGAGGAGTAGGAGATTAATTATATGTTAGCTATATTATCTTATAGTATTATCTATAGTTCCTAGATAAATATTAGGTAGATGCCTAATTAGAGAGTATCCTAGAGTGCCGCTTCTATAGCCTAGGCATTCTAGTTTAAGTTAACTTATATAACTTTAAGGTTACCTAATATGTCTACTAGGGGGATGTCTTTATTAGATAGTAGGGATAGTTT